TGGCAGTCCTGCCTCTCCCGGCTTCCCTGGCTTCCCTGAGGTCCCTTTGGGTCCCTGGGTGGGAGGGAAGGACAGAGTTATGCAACAAGCACTCAGCTCTAGGCTTTAGCCTCCAATGAGGAAGATAAGTCCTCTCCGTGTTGGGTATCAGCCAGCTGTGATGGCTCCTCACCCGACCACTCTGATGGAACCTGGGAAGACTGCCCCAGTACCATTGCATCAACTGGATGTTCACCAAACAGATCCAGCATCCCCAGTGAAAGACCAACAGGGTTACTGCGCAGGAATGTCAGCGGCTGAGGAGCTTCAGCCAAGGTGAGGGGCCCACACAGGCACAGTGGGGAGACACTACAGAGCTCTACTATCTCTGGCTCGCCTGAACGCTGGCACAAAGAGTTTCCAGCCAGACTGAGCAGAGCCCCATAGGCTCCCCTCCCCACCCCCCCTTCCAGGCTCTGCCCTCCAGCCTCTCCTAGGGCAACACAGCCCCTCAGAGGTGAGGACAGGTCCACCCCTTCCCTTTCCAACCAGGGACACTTACTGGAGGGCCAGGCAGACCTGGAGGGCCAGCTTCTCCCTGCGGAAATGAAAGTGAGCCCATAAAAGCCCTGAAAACAGGAAATCCACCCTAGAGCTAGGCCATTCCCCAATCCAGTCCTCGATGCTCGGCCTGTGGAGACATTGTGGGGTCCCCAGATCCTCTCATCTATACCTGAGGATTTCTCCTCTGCAAGCTAGCCAGGGATGGGATGATCTAGAAATCGGCTCAGCCACACAGCATTTGGAACACAGTGGCATAGTACACTCCATGAAACACTTCATATCGTTCCCCTGCACCAACCTAAGAGCTTTACAGAGCGGCTGTGGCTGGCCAAGCAGCCTCTTGACTCCATTTGTTGGGGAAATGGCACTTCGTCATCCATTCTCCAGCTCTATCCTCCATGGACACCTGCCTGTGGCTAACCTTTCATACGAGGCTTTAAGAGCCTCAGAGCCTGGGCGCTCAGCTACAGCAGAGGGTAAGGTCCCAGGCCACCCAAGTGTGAGGAAGCCTATGGCCATTACAGCTGAGGTAGGTTCTGGGACTCTTGGGAGTCTGAGAAGAGCTCAGGGCATTCTTAGTGAAGCTTCCCATAGCCTTCTATGGAGTCCCTAGGGAAACACATGAGTGACTGGAGGCTGGCCCCATGAGAAGCCTTCCGCTCCAGATAATGGGGCAGGGTATGGTGGAGCTGCAAGACTTCAGTTACCTCCCCAAACTGTTTAGACCATAACTGGATGGATAGTACACCCCAAAGACACCATCTCTGAGGTCAAGCTGGATCCCAGTCCTTCCAAGACTGGCTCTATTCTTAGCCCCAGCAAGACCCAACATCTCCAGAGTAACACGTTACACACTCCTAAAATATAGGAGCACATACGTCTCGAGGCTCACAAGGACCACCCTGTCATCTGTACCCCAGGATCTTCCCCAAAGAGGAGCGAGGTCCTTTTAGTTCTACTGGGGTACCCTGTGCCACCCTAACTCTCAGAGGAGCCCCTTAGGTTTGTGGTCACAAGGCCAGGAGTCTCAGGGCGCCTTCCCCATTCCTCTCCCAACTCACATCGATGCCATCCTTGCCGGGCTTTCCAGGAGGCCCTTGGGGACCAGGGGGGCCTCGAGGTCCCACTTTCTGAAATTGAGATAAGTTATTAGGTAGGCCTCTTTTCCAACATGTCAGCCCTCCCGTCCCATCTTCCCCATCCCAAGAAACTCTGGAGCCCGTGACAATGGCCCATGACCCCCCCTCCCTGCCTTCCTTAAAAAACCCCAAAGTCTCCTGCGCTGAAGCCTGGCGTCAAGGCAGTTTATCCTCCTTTGCGCCAGGAGTAGCTGTGCTGCGGCCCCGCAGGGAGTCTCCAGAAACAAAGGCAACATTGTGTGTTCAGAGCGTGGTGGCAGTGGTGGCAGGCTTGGCAGCGGCCTGACCCGGTTGGGCGAAGACAAGTGGAAGCCCAGGATCATGGCTGACATGTCCTGGTGTCCGTGGGGGCTCAGCTGCATCACCAGAACTCGCCAGCCGGAGCGAGGCGGCGAAGAGGCTGCCACAGATGTCCTCGAGGATCCTTGGCGACGGGACTCAGGAGTTGGCCCAAGGGGCTTGAGTTATCCCAGGCTGTACGGTTCGACGTCCGTCCCTATCCCCGACCCCATAAGCACCCGCGGGTCCACGCTCACCTGCGCGGAGGTGGCCGTCAAGAGCTGCCCCAGCAGCAGCAGGGCTAGGGCAGGCGCTCCGGTCATGGCTGGCAGGCGCTCTGAGCGGCTGGCGCCGAGCGCCGGGCAGCAGGGTGGGGAGAGGGGCTGGGGGCGGCGCGAGGCTGTGCGCCCCGCCCTGCCCCGCCCCACCCGCGCACAAGCCCCTCATTCAGTCGGGCCCACCTGAGCCGGCGGGGCGCCGCGTGGGCTGGAAAGAAAAAACCCAGCAACATTTTCTGGCCCTCCTCTTGAGTTAAAATTATCCCAGGACCGCGCGTTACACACGCACCTTTCAGCGCACAAGAAAGACTCCTTTTTCTCCCACTCCTCTCCTGGAAGAACCTCCACAGTGAAGGGCATCTTTTAAGAAGGGCACACCCAAGCTGCTCAAATCCCAGGAGGATCCCTGTGGGTAGCTCTCCTTTTCCAAAGCCTAACATGCCAAGGATTCTGCATAGTGACAATCCAGCACTTCTTGCTAGCCACCCCAGCCCTTTCTCTAGAGCTTGGAAACAGGTTCTGGTGCGGGAGGTGTTGGACGGCTCTTTTCAGTCACTACTGGAAAGCCTCTTACGCTGCACCCTTGTACCAGGAGGGAGCAAGATGAACTGGAAGAAGAAAAGAGGCAGCCTGAAGTTCAAGGCTGTTGGAGGAGATAAGGACCTAATGTTAAGACCTGGAAGCAGGTCCCCGGTAGTAATCTATCCCTTAACCCTTCTTCAGATTATTTCACTAGGTTATGTGTATGAGTGTTCTGCCTCATGTGTGTGAATTATGTGCATGCCTGGTGCCCAGAAGTCAGAAAGATGGTTATGAGCCTCCAGATGAATGCTGGGAATCAGAGTCCTCTACAAGAGTAACAAGTGCTCTTAACTGCTCATCAGACTCCCTAGCTAGCCCCTTCCCTTCAATCTTTCAAACACCGAAATCACCTGATGCTGCAGGATCCCAGCCTACCTGTCCTTTCACTGCTCTGGGCTTACAGGACATGGTAAAAGTTTCGTGTCCGCAGGTAGGGATCACATGACAGGAGCTAACACCTATAGGGTGGATAAGGGTAAGGGTGTGTACATAAGCAAAATGGCCCCAATGGGAACCCGTGGCTTTCTCCTGCCAAGTGAAGTAATAGGAGATTCTCACTCCAGTACCAAGCACCCGCTACCTGCTCAGCTCTGCAGCAGGTGCCTGTGGATGTACATGGGAGTGGACCGAGGTAAAGCTCAGAAAGCCTTGCCCTCAAGCAGCCTGAGACACACCAAAACACCTCTTCAAAATAATGTACTGTGATAAGGGAAGCAGTTCAGATGGCAGAGGCTGCATACAGTTGGGGATTCTCAACAGCCCATCCCATGGGCTAGGACAGGTGATTCTTTTTTTTTTTTTTTTTTTTTTTTGGTTTTTTGAGACAGGGTTTCTCTGTGTAGCCCTGGCTGTCCTGGAACTCACTCTGTAGACCAGACTGGCCTCGAACTCAGAAATCCGCCTGCCTCTGCCTCCCAAGTGCTGGGATTAAAGGCATGTGCCACCACCGCAACAGGTGACTCTTTAATTCCACTGGAGAGTAGGGTGTCACGGCCCCTGTAATGTATCTCCCACCTGACTCAGGTTCCTCTGGCCACCTCAGCACCTAGCATATGGTATATTGGACAACTGGTGAATGCCACTCAGATGAGGCACAGATGGCCTTTAGATCTAGGGAACAGTTTAGCTTCAAGGAAGACTTGGCCTTTGGCCCTCCCCCCCCAATATCTGCAGACCTCCCAGCACCCGCCTATGAGCTGTGCGGACTGAAGCTTTGTTTAGCTGTTTTGGTACATGATTCTTCTTGAAGGTCAAGAGGTCAAGTGAGCTAGAATGGCCAGCCATTCCTGGAGCTTCTCCTCACTTTCAAGTATTGATATTCCCCATCCAACTTGAATCCCAGTTATCTAGTCAAAGGTGGCTGGGCACTTGGGATCAGAGGAACCCCTACTGAGGTTACCAGATGCCTTCTATGCATCTCAGAGCATCTATTTCCATGTCATGATGGAATCCTTAACAATGAGCCAAATGACAGCCAAGGTGCCAGGGGCTCATAGCCTCTTTGAGCTAGCCTTAGGAGGGCCCTGTATCATGACCTTGTCAAGAAATGGAACTCAGGGAGAACTGTGATCTTCTCAGAACACCCAGGACTGTGCTTGATTGCCACTTGGTTTGCACAAAGACTTGTGTGGCTCCCTCCTCTCCAAGGGCCACATCTGGGAATCAGAAGAGGGAAAAGCCAGGACAAAGAGAAGCTATAGTGGGATCCCAGTCTGATGGGCACATACCGCCTTGAAGATAGCACCTCTGGGAGGCCTATCAGCAGAGAGGGGCAAGACAGAAAGGACTGGTCTAGACATGTAGACTTGTAAACCCAGCACTGTTTCCAGACCTGTACACGTGTATGTACGCGCGCGCACACATACGCACACCCAAGACAGGGTTTCTCTGTGTAACAGCCCTGTCTGTCCTGATTTGTAGACCAGGCTGACCTCAAACTCAGAGATTTACCTTCTTCTCCCTCTTGAGGACTGAGATTAAATAGGTCACCACACTCAGCTTCCAAAGGCTGTGTATTTAAGAGAGGCCCAGGTAGGGTTCTTGTGCTTGGAACCTGTTCCTAAGAAAAGCTGTGTAGACAATGTACCATCAGCGGCACTGTCCACGATGCTCTCAAGTGGGTACAAGAGAGAAGGCTAGAGGTCCCAGGCAACCAAACAGGACATGGGCCACACCAAAAGACAAAGTCTAAAGAGTTTATTCAGAAAAGGCCTCACTTGGCACCAGACTAAGAAAAGAGGCCCCTCCCCCTAGACCCTTAGGGTCTGTTCACAACACAGGGCTCAGAGGGCAGTGGAGGAGGACAGTGAGGTAAGGAGGCTTCTGAAGGCCTTGGCCTTCCCTGAGGGCAGGGCCTCAGTCCCTCTGGTGGCCACTTCAGTGACCACTAGGGAGAGGCCAGCACTGTGGGGCACCAAGAAGAGCCAACAAAAGAGCTCTGGGACTCAGAAACCCCCTGCAGTGGGCTGAGTAGGACTGAGATGCACCTCTAAGGCTTTGGGGGTTCAGCAGAGGCTTCAATCCTTGCCAACTCCTCTGACTCATCCACTGAGGTTCCTGTAGTGTCAGAGTCAGGGTCTCCCACCAGGTTCCTAGGGTCCTCCACCAGGCACTCAGAGGCAGCTTGGTCTGGCCCCACCTGGCTTTTTGGGTCTTCTGGTTCCACCTGGCTTTTTGAGTCCTCTGGCCCCACCTGGCTTTTGGGGTCCTCTGGCCCCATCTGGCTTTGGGGGTCATCTGTCCCCACCTGGCTTTTGGGGTCCTCTGGTTCCACCTGGCTTTTGGGGTCCTCTGACCCATTCCCATCCTTTTGGGATTCAGGACACTCTGAAGGGGTAGGAGGCAGGCCACTGGCCTGCATTTGAGTATTACTGGCTACTCCATCACCCTCAGCCCCTTCTTCCACCTTCCTCCGCTTTCTTACCTCATTAGCCACCCTGGCCATAGGACAGGGCTGCTCAGCCTCCCTGGGTTCCTGGCTGATAGGGCTGAGGGCACACTCCTCAAGGTTGAGGGCAATTTTCTCTACCTCAGAGACACCCTGGGGATCTGGCTCCCCTGGGACCTGTTCCTGCCTGTTCCCCTCCAACTTTCTCTTCTTGCTCTCTTTGGGACTCAGGGACTTAGCCTCATCCCTCTGGTCCCCATCCAAGGTTCCCACATCCTGGGGCTTTGCACTTAGCAGTGAGGGATCCTCAGCTGTTCCACTGTCCCCACTCAGGTCCCTTCCAGATCCACAGGTCCGACCCTGGGTGCCAGCCTCTTGGGAGGGGTCCCTGGAGCCCTCACCTTTATCTGCCTGCCCTAGTCCCATCAGTGGCCGGGGTATAGTCTGGGGCCTGAATCTCCGCAGCTTGTCACGGGGGCCCCAGACAAACTCTCGGCGAGGCTTGAAGTGCTCCCACGCAAAGTGCACGAGCTCCCGGCGCTGGTGCCGGCAGCGCACGGCAAAAAGGAAGTAGTCCAGGGCGCTCTGGCGCACGCTGGGCAGTTTGTGCTGTACGAGGGTCTCTTCCAGGAAGAAGCGGACCAGCGGTGCCTGGTAGTGTTCTAAGCCCAGCTCGCCCAGCGACTTGAGGATGCGTGTAATACGCAGGTTGTTGTGGCTGTGGCTGTGAAAGCAGGTAACAAAAGGTGACAGGAGGTGACAGGAGGTAGGGTGGACCCAACCCTAGGGATGTACATGTGGCCAAGGCATCCCTAGTCTGTTCCATCTCAAAGTTCTAGGGTCTTCTCAGGGGACCACCTAGGAAAATGACCTGGGTACTCTTGATCTGTGGACAGGATCTGCAAGTCCTGGGAGATGCCCCAGTCCATGGACTCCTGTCTGGGGACACTGCTGGAAGCTAGAAAGGGCTGACGTCCTGGCAGACCCAGAGTGACTATGCCATCTGTAGACCTCCCTTGCCTCTGCTTTCTGGGAGGATGGAGGGGATTAAACACTCCCAAGCCAAAGGACCCCACAACTCCTGCCACATGGCAGCACCTACACCCTGTGGGTGAAGCAGGCATCAGAGCCTGTACTGGACTTCTCTGCTTGAAACCCAGCCCCAGATATCGAAGGAGAGCAACAGGGATGGGGGGATGCCAGCAGGACCCTGTCCTTACCTGTTCAGGTTGTGGAAACGTGGCTGGAAGTTCTGTGCACGGCATACGGCACCTGTGTGCCGGTCCTCAAGCTGGATCCCATAGAAGCCCAGCATGAGCTCATAGGCCCGGACAAGACGCTCTCTGACTTCCTCGGAGCTTTTAAATGCCTAGAAAACAATCCCCTGGGACTCAGGTGGCCCCCTGGATACGAGGCAGGGCAATATTTCCCTGAGACCCTGACTCAGCCTGAGGGGAAGACAACACATCTCTAGCTTCTCCGAGAGGCCTAGGAAAGCAGTTACCTCTATCCTGAGACGCCTGCCACAAGGTATTCCTTGCTGATGTCCAGGGACCTCCTGGCTCCCTTTTTTTTCCTTTTAACTTAATTTATGTATATGAGTACACTGTAGCTATCCTCAGACACACCAGAAGAGGGCACTGGATCCCATTACATATGGTCATGAGCTACCACGTGATTGCTGGGTTGAACTCAGGTCCTCTGGAAAAGCAGTCAGTGCTCTTAACCACTGAGCCATTGCTCCAGCCCCCTCCAGGCCCTTTTTCTACTCTTAGTCTCTTAGAGCTGGCCTCCTTTCTCTGAGATTCCCCAAAAGTGGGACCATGGGGCTCTTTTGGCCCGAGACAGCACAGACACTGTCTCAGGATGACTGCAGGCAGGGGTGGCTCTCCTCACTCCCCCATTCTGGCTTAGAAGGAATCCTTACCTCAACCTCCTTCAGTGTGAGGGGCTTGGCGTGCCAGTTCACTCCTGGTTCCCTCAGAGGAAACAGCCTGAGAAGATGGTGAAGATATGGGTACTTTAATGCCAGGCAGCAGTTTATTTTGAACTCAGTGCCTCTTTCATCTCTGGGAGGAGCTAGCTAGTCTTTCTTACCCAAGGAACTAGGTAAGGATGGCAGTTAGTCAAGAGCAGGTAAGACAGCTGCTTGGAGCCCCAGCCTATGTGCTCAGTGGGCTGTGTGGTGGAAAGTCAAAATGGCGGAGGCCAGTGTGCCTTTCACCTTTGGAGGGAAGAGCTTTCCTTCCAAGGGTTTCAGTTTGTTCTTTCTTGTCATTAACTCTGCAGAATTATTCCCACAATGCACTCTGTGACAAGAGGATACTGGGAATGGCCCAGTGAGCTTTCCTCAAGCAAGGGATGTTGTACTTGCCAGGAAATGGCATTATTTCTGAGTCTCCTGTGTGGGACCTCTCTTAAGTTCTGCTAAAACCAAGTCGGATGTAGTCCAGCTCCAGCTCCCCCCAGGACGTAAAAGCCTGCCCACAGACCTGTGCACAACAGCCCCTACAGGGCCCAACAACAGGGACACTAACTAGAGGTATACAAGCAATACCTGTCATACACATATAGGCTTATGGAAAGGAAGGAGTATTTCATTACACACCTGAACCTGGACTGGGCATGAGAGTTCCCGACTATGTGCCTGGCCTCCCCTCCCTAAGACTCGGCTGCACTCACCACTGGATGTAGGAGTGATTCTCTTCTAGGAGGTCATAGTTGTCTTTCCAGTTCTGAAGAATGTCCTCAATGAAAGAGCCTGGACACCCCATGGAGAGAAGTCAGCTACGGAGGCCCCCTTGACATAGCTTGGGGGACAGAGCTATCAAAATCATGGCCTACCCTCAATTTCTTTAGGGTTCTCAGGACTTGGCAGAGCTATCCATAGCTCATCTGATATAAGAACATGCTAGTTTTAGGTAACTAAGCCTACTTCTGTAGGTAAGGGGTGTAATACTTCCTCTGTGGGACATATACCTTCTCAGCTCTGTGCTCAAGAGAAATCCCCATAGAGACTGAGCATGAAACACGGTCTAGGGAGGTGCCTTTGAAGGGCCAGACAGCAAACATCTCAGCTACGGAGACATACTGCCTTTTCCAGGCTATATCAAAAAGTAACTACATAAATGGACAGGTGTGACAAACATCAATAAAACTACTCACTGTTTAGTTTCAAATGTTTATGTCATGAAACATATATGGTGGCTCAGGCCTGAATACAATTTCAGCACTTGGGAGGCTGAGATGGAAGATCCTGAGTTTGAGGCCAGCCTGGGATACACTGAAAGACCACCATTTAAAATTTCAAAACCGGCCAGGCAGTGGTGGCACACACCTTTAATCCCAGTACTTGGGAGGCAGAGGCAGGCAGATTTCTGAATTCGAGAGTTCGAGGCTAGCCTGGTCTACAGAGTGAGTTCCAGGACCGCCGGGGCTACACAGAGAAACCCTGTCTCGAAAAAACCAAAAAATAAAAAATAAAATAAATTAAATTTCAAAAGCGCCAGGCAGTGGTGGGACACGCCTTTAATCCCAGCACTTGGGAGGCAGAGACAGGAGGATTTCTGAATTCAAGGCCAGCCTGGTCTACAAAGTGAGTTCCAGGACAGCCAGGGCTACACAGAGAAACCCTGTCTTGAAAAACCAAAAAAAAAAAAAAAAAAAAAAAAAACCAACCACCAAACTTCAAAAGCTTATTCTCTGGCCTTTCGATCTTATATCCTAAGATCCAAGCTCCAATCCCCTTGGCAGCCTGAAGCAGGTACTGCAGGGCCACATTATTGGATTGAGGACAACAGGCAGCCTGAAGCAGGGGTCCTAACAGAAGAGACAATGGGCCAAGGGCAGAGGGTGCTGGGGCTGGAAGGGCGGGTACCGTTTGGCTGGAAGCAGATCTCGTTTTTGTAGAAGCTCAGGTTACACATGTCACCATTGCAGTCTTGATCAGTCAAATCCTGAGGAGCCAGCAAAGAAAGGATGGCTGAGGACTCATGAGAAACAAGCTCTCTGACGGCCCCTCAGACTCACGCAGGCAGGACTAGGGACAGCTGTTCAAGATCCCAGAGCTCAGCCTGGGATCCTTTCTGTGAGCAAGGGTAGGTTTAGAGGACAACGCTACCTTCATCTCCCCATCTACAGAGGCCACAGATGGTAGCTTCCCTTTTGTACCTCAAAAATACCACAGGGATTGCCAGTAACTAACTCATGGGTAGAGAGGAGAGGGTCTGAAGATGATCCCATGCGCCAGCCAGGCAGCCTTGTGTGAAGCATTGAGCCACATGTTCTGTCAGGAGGCTGAAGCTAGACCCTCATTTTAAAGCTAGGCTCTGAGTCTCAGGTGGAGCAACATGCTCTACCACCCCATACCTAGGAGAAGGGTATGGATCCGAACTGACCATGGGCTCGTCTTCCAGACAATGGGGAACACACCCAAGAACCCAAAGCTAGATTTTCAGCAGGCCAGGGGATACTCTATTTGGAGAGAGGGCTGTGACTTTCGGTAGGAGCTGTACCTACCGGGTAGTTGTGCCGGTATCTTTGCATGTCCTGCATAGCACGCCAGTTTCGGTACCCTGTCATCCTGGACTGGGGGAAGAATACAAAGGATGAGGTAGTGGAAGGTGTCCAGGATGACAGCAGCATGGTTTGGGCCAACCACCACTGAGCTCTATGCAAGAGGAATGGGTGTTTGTTTCCTTTTCTTCTGGTCCCCACCCAGGATTCTGAGAAGACAGATCTAGACCCTAGAAAAATATCCCTCCATTTGAACACAGACCAGTGGGACTAGAATAGCCTCAGCAACGACCTCTGCCTCTCTCAATAATTCATCTTCCTCGGTAGGGAGCCTTGGCCCAGGCTAGCCTGCACGCTGCCAAGATGTGTGGCTGATGTTTCTCTGGCCTCAAGTCCCAGCTGCCTCTCCTCGGTCTGTCTGTCAACTTCATTTTGGGCTAAGCTCTCCCCTCCAACCCCAGTCCCTGAGTACTGTAGTGTTTCTCTTCATATGATTCTATGAATGGTCATTGGGCTATATCCCCAAGAGGAGCTACTTTGCCAGCCACAGCCTCAAGAAAAAAACCTAGATGCCTCCGGATGGGTCTGATGGATGAATGAGGCTCCGTCTTTGGAAACCCCATGCTTCTCCCTGGCCCAATATGATAAAGACGCTGTGCCACAAGGCCTGGGATAGGCTCTTAAGTGACTACTGCTTCGGGTAGAATCTAAGAGCTTTTGTGGAGAAACAGCAATTCTATCAGAGCTTTTGGGAGGCCTTACCACCCATAGGAGGAGCCTGAGCCTGCACTATAAACCTGACTACCCAGCCTCAGCTGCATCCCAATGTGTTCAGGCAGAGGCCAGCTCACTCTCGTTTTTTCTAGGCTCTCCATCACACCTGAAAACACAGCTATAAGGAGGTCAGTGCGTCTTACAGAATACCACTGAGGCTTACATACTGCTTGCTACGAAAGTCTACCGGGAACAAGCTCCAGGTGACAACAAAAGTTACCAGAGCTAAGGGCAGACAGGCAGACCCCTGCTCCCGGCGTCCTAGGCCGGGATCACTTCCGAGTCTGTGGATGCTGTCTGCAATGGGGTGGGGGCCGAGTGTGGGGCGGAGGGAGGGCAACCGGAGGAAAGGCCACCCACGCAGAATGAGGCCCTGGGGCGTGCTCTGACGTCACCCACGCACGACCCCCATCAGTCGCTTCCCTGACGTCATCAGCGCTCGGTCCGCCAAGGCCTGGACCCGGCGCCCCCGCTAGGGGATAGCGGCCTGGGCCGAGCGATCACGGCCTGGCCTGTCGCCCTCCCGTCCTCCTGCGCCGCACCTGGAACAGGCCTGGACGTGCCTCCTCCGCGTCGCCGTCATCGTCGCCCGTGTCCTCATCGGTCGTATCATCCGCCTGGCCATCCTCGCCGTCCTCCTCGCTCTCGTCCTCCCAGGTGGAATCGCAGTCCGGGTCGTCCATACTCGACAGGCAGGACCCGCTTTCCGGGGAAAGGAAAGTGAAAGAGGAGGAAGCGCGGGGGCGGGGCGGCGCCAGGTCCCGCCCACCGCTCAGTTTCCGCCGTTGCGCGGAGTCCCCCTGCAAATGCAGCTTCGCTCGGAGCTAGGCGGGAAGCCTTGTCTTGGAGACGGCAGTCCCCTCAGAGAGACAATCCCTGGAGGCTGTGCACTGGGATTACTTCCTCTATCCCCTCCCGGAAGACGCACCCCCTCGGACTCAGCCCCAGGTCCTCTCCCTTCAGATTTCACTTCCCTGCAGACTGTCCCTTCCCTCCAGAGAGGAGGCAAGGGAGGTTTCTCCTCAGCCCTACGGGAAGCGCCTTTTCCTGCCTGCCGAGAAGACTACTGGGTGCAGGTTCCTAATCTTTGTCAACCTGTCTAACTGCAGTCCTTTCTGGCCGCTCTGTTTCCCTACTAGTAGCTCACTTTGTATCTGAATGTGTGTATGTGTTTGGCTGCCCAAGGACACCAGAGGTCGGTATTGAGTAGCTTGTCCACACTTTTCATTCTGAGCCGAGCTCTCACTTACCTGGAATTCATAGGTCACACGAGGTTGGCTAAGCAGCAAATCCCTGGGACACTACTGTCTCTGCCCCGCCAGCACCAGTAAAGGTACACACCACCAAGCTCAGCTTCTAGGTGGTGATCAAACGTAGGTTCTCCTGCTAGCAAGACTTTTTTTTTTTTTAAAGCAATTGAGCCATCTCCACAATCCGTTGTGAGTTCTGTCCCACTCCTTTCCACTGCAAATTTCCTGGGCTCATGTGGCTAGGTAGCCTTTGGATGTTAGGTGGACCCTACTGCCGACTGTGGCCACGAGCTTGACTTTGTTATGTAACATGCGGTTTGAAGCAAGATAGCAATGGGAAGTAAAGGAGACATGGATGGGTAGTGGGTTAGGGGGGAAAAGACCCTCATTCCACATGGTTGAAGTTTCTCACCAGCTGAGAGTTCTGAATTCCAGAACAGTTGACAAAATCTGCTTGAAGACTGCCTACATAGAGAAAATATTCCTTTTATTTAGCCATATTCTAAATAATGTTAATCAGGCTTCTGTGTATATGCATGTATATGACCTTCAAGTGTGGCCTTACTTCTTGACCAGATGTGAACCTGTTAACGTTCTGGGAATCTCAGAGTAAAAATATATTGTCTCTAGCAACAGTCTAGTGTGCATCAGAGACTACAGTATGATCTGTTAAAGTGCCCCAGCAGCTCCTTGAGTTGGAACCTCAGAAGCCACAAAAATCAGACTGATGGGCTACCATGGAGACATAGATGTCGCTTTCCCTTGAGAAGCTCATAGCCACACTTGGGTGTGCTCCACTTTTCATAAACACCTCTGTCAACTACATGTTTAAATCTCTGCCTAAAATACACTGACTCATCCCATGAAGTCAAGAATACTGGCTTCACATGAGCAGTCTCTGAAAGGAACTCATGGGCCAGCAGTGGCTCACTAAAGGCACCTGTCATCAAACCTGACAGTCTGAGCTCAATCCCTGGGATCTGGAGAATAGAAAGCAAGAAACTGACTTCTGAAAGTGTCTCTGATCTTCACATGTGCACTCAGACAGACACATATGCTCGTTCAATAAAAATGCAAACTCAGGGGCTGTTTCTGATCTCTGCCCCACTGCTTCTGACACCAACCCTGCTCAGGCTGGGACCTGGTTAAAATGCCATTAGATAGGGAAGCCATACAAAGGGTGTTAGTGGGTGCTTGGGACCACTCAGGGTTGTCCCTTGGTTGGAAACCCCCTCTCCCACAACTGTCCTAGAAGCTGAAAGATGGACGTGCCCTGGGGCTGACAGTAATATTTGCAAGAGGCAGTGTGCTGTGCTGCCTGGAGCTGGTGCAGTAGCTGTAGACCCAGTTGTCAGCGATGTCTCGTAGGGACACAGGGACATGCCAGTGAGAGTTGTCAGAACTCGGGAAGGTAGCAGGTTTGAGTTCAGATTGAGACACTGGCCTGTTGGGGAACAAATGAAAAATGATAGACTCAAGGCAAATGTCTTGACCAGGCCCACCTGCATGCTTTCATGCCCCTAGATTGTTCTTTTAGACGGGCTTAGAAGAGTGAGCCTGATCAGAGAGGACTGCCGTCCTGATCGTCACATACCTGCTCATCAGGATTGTTGCCATCTGCTCCTCATTTCTCCTGCTAGTGCTGGATTCAACAGCTAGGCTTCTTCCACAGAACGAGCCTCTAGTAGTAGACACTGGGTAGAGACAGGATGGAGTGGCCCCAAGCTATTTCCTAAAGCATACTGTAACACGGCTTTCCCTGTTTCTTGCACTGAACACACAAGTGCTGGTCTATGTCTGAGCACAGTCTACAGTGCTGCCACTTCATCTCAGGTGCTGTAGGCCTTTACCTTCTGCCTGATTCCAGGAGGCAGGGAATTGTTGAATTATGACCCTGTCCAGACTCTACAGAAAGAGATCCAGAGACTTCCCACTGCTGGTCATTTCTAGAAAATGACAGGCCAGACTAGGTGAGCTCAACTGTGTTAACTCAGGATGCTCTCTGTGCCAGGGAGCTGGGTCTAGTGGGACATTTATGATGACCCAATCGTGCCCTGACTAGAAGTAGCCAGTATAGGCCAGACTGGAGTGCAACAGTGGGCCAGTTCTCATTGCATGGGACCCTGCAGATGGCAGCGGGGGTTATAGTCACAGGCAGTAATCAAGATGGTCTGGACAGTACACTGCCCATGCCACCCAACAGCTGGACTTGGCAATGGAAGGACAACAGGCAGCAGCTAGGTAGGCAGGAGTTGGGGCTGGGGGTTAAGGGTGGGTGTCCTGCAAGTCTCGATGAAGGCTTATAACCTTACTGCATCCGGTGATACCTAGAAGTCATCTTAAGTGCACTCTAATGTTATGAATTCGAGTGGGGGACCCTTTCCTCGGTAGGAAAAATTTTAAAAAAAACAACTTATTTTAGTAGCAAACTACACAACTCCCCAGATAATTTTTTTAATGCTTTAATATTCTGCAAATGAAAATGTACTTCAACTATCAGGCCACCATTGGCTTTTCAGCCTGACGGCGATCCCTTTATTCCACCCCCTTATTTGGTCTTTTCCAAGTTTCTAAAATTACAAAAATAACCGCTAAAAATTCTCTGTATCTGGCATATAAAAACAGCCAGATGTATCTCAGTAGTTACCTTAAAACAAAACAGCTCAAAAAAAACACATCACAGGTTTAACTTCTGCAGTATTTTTCTTCATACAAAACACTAGTAAAATAGGCTTCTTAAAAATTAAATAGTGAAATACCAACTAAATTATATACACTATTACAGTACAAGTGAATGAGGCAAAATATCCAGTTCTATTTCCCAGATGGGGGAGGCCTTCTGTGCACAGTGTGTGCCGTGTGAGCTCCAAAGACACCGTCTCTGGATGCCAGTGCACAATGGAGTCTTACAGGAAAAGCAGATGCAAAGAGTGGGCACCCAGGGAGGATGCGTGGCTCCTGAGGACAGTGAGGGGGATCTCTTATTGCTTGCTGACTCTTGGTCCTCTGGCCCCATGCATCTGCTCATCTCCACACACTGTGGGCATAAGGGAACCAACCAGGAGAAAGCAAGAGGCTGGCTCAGAGGCTTTGCCATCCAGCAGAGTGGACGCTGGTCTTGCTGGTCTTTTGGACCAATCAGGTGCTCTGGAAGTCTGATGACACAGCAGAAGCTCCACTAGCATCTCTGCTGGATGGCCACATTCACCCAGGGACCTGATGCCAGGCAGCTGGAGCATCTCTGTGGCCACCTGGGGCTGAGGTGTCTATGTGCGGCGCCTCTTGGCAGCACTGGGGCTGGACGGATTGCTGTTGGCAGTCAGGACCTTGTCAGTGACCCGGCTGCGCTTTCGCTTGTCTGCCCCTTCTTTGCACCCCAAGTCTGAGGAGTTCTTCTCTTTGTCTTTACTGGATTTTTCTAATGCTTTCCCCAAGCTCCCTGAAGATGAAAAAACTGAGAAACAAAATTATTTGGCTGAAAATAGAATATACAGAAACTCATCTCATTTTCCTGTTCAGCTAGAGAAATCAGGCGTCCATCAGGCTCTTTGTACCCAGGATGTTCCCTGGGTAAGTGCCCTGTAGAGCTGGGCTTCAAGAGAAACATAGTCTCCCAGGGGGTCTCCTGTCTGAGCCACCTGACCCTCCCAGCCTTGGCCTTGGTTCCTTCCTCATGGCCCTCAGAGGCCCCCCTGCCTAAGATGACCTGCTCTGAGTTCATCTTTAAGTGACTCCTGACTCCATAGCTTCCTGACCTCACTTTGCCTGAGGCTGGCCTGCGGTGAGGAGACTGGGGGAGGCATGTTTGCTCCAGGGACATGTCACACTTACCATCATCAGCCCCACTGTGGGGGTCCACATCCTCCTTCATCTCCTCCTTCATCTCTTCTTCAATGACCACTTTTCCTGTGGAGGAGACAGCTGCCGTTCACTGGAAACCCACGGTGGTGGCCAGCGCTGGGGGACGGTCTGGCCATGACTGCTTCCGATTCTCGCTGCCCACACAGGCCTCGGCGTCCATCACGAGACGGCATCCATCAGGAGACTGCCTTTGAGCACCGCTCTCCCCAGCCCTTGGCTCCCAAAACCTCCCAGGTGCCACTGGAGGCATGGTCTGAGCAGGATCCTTACACCTCCCTGGAGGCCCCAGACCTCCCCACCTTTGGCCTGGTGAGGCTTTTTTTATTCCCAGCCCTGGTGGTGGCCGAGTCTCACCTTCTCGGACTTCCTGAATGATCTCATCTGGAAGGACAAAGTTCCTCTCTGGATTTGGGAATGGAAGAATCTCAGACTCGTGCTGCCGGCACAAAGCATTTTGTATTTTCAAGAAACAGAAAACAGGATCTCAGCTCACTAAAATGTACAGGAGGAGCAGGCTGGAGGCTGCCAGCTTGTGGGCTCCTTGCTCCAGCTTGCAGAGTCCACCTCAGCTGGACTTTTCAGATGATTAGGAAGGGCCAGGCTATCACCAAACAAAACCAGAGGAAAGGACCAG